GTCCCAGAGCCGGGGAGAGAACCCAGGAGTCCTGGCTCCCAGCCCCCACTCCCGTCCCAGAGCCGGGGAGAGAACCCAGGAGTCCTGGCCCCCACTCCCCTCCCCGCGCTGTCCCTCGCTGAGATCCCATCTCTCCCTTTGGCTTCTCAGGGGGCTGCCAGCGCTCCCTAGTGGCGGATGGGGGGCACTGCTGCCATGAACGCAGGAACTGCTCCATCTCTGTCCCCCCCATATGCCCAGATCTGCCCTCCCCTTCCCCGTCCAGGGCAGCTCCCCTGAGATCCCGTCGGCGGGGGTGGGGAGCAGAGGCTGGTGTCCGTCCGGGGGGGTACGAGCTGGAGACTCGCAGCCTCTATCCGTCTGTCCATCCGTCCGTCCCCCCTGCGGCCCATCCCCCTGTCCGTCCGTCCCCCCCGTGGCCCCGCTGTCTCTGTCACTCTGTCTGACCCCCCTGTAGCCCCGCTGTCTGTCAGTCCCTCACGTGCATGTCTGTCCGTCTCACAGGCAGCCCGGGGCATGTCCCGCACAAATGCAGCAGCACCAAGCACCGCATCATCTCCCCGAAGGTGGAGGCGCGGCCCTGCCCGGCCCCGGCCCCCCCCGACCCGCCACGCCTGGCCGAGCCCAAGCCGGAGCCGGAGCTGGCCAAGCCCGACCGGAAGGAGCCCCTGGCGCCCGCCGCCGAGCCCCCCTCCTCCTCCCCGGACGCCCCCCGGCCCTCGTCCGCCGTGGCCCTGTCTGTGGGGCTGCCCAGCAGCGCCGTCCTGGTGATGACCGGCCTGGAGAAGCCGCTGGCCCTCACGCCCAGCCAGCACCTGGTGGCAGGCGACCCGCCGGGCCTGGCCCTGCTGCCAGGCCCCGGCCTGGTCCTGTCCCAGAACCTGGAGGCCAGCATGGAGACCGGGGAGGCCGGCTCGGGCGCCTTCGACCCCGACTGCTTCCTCAACAGCCCCGCCCGGGGCCAGACCTACGGGCGCCGGGTCCCGGAGCCGCCCCCGGCCGGCAACCGCTTCTTCATCCAGGATGACGGGGGGGCGCCGGGGCGGGGGGGCGTCCGGCCCCCCTCCGGGGAGACGCCCATGGAGACGGGGGGGCCCCGGCCCGGCGGTGGGGCCGGCGAGCAGCTGCCGGACGAGCTGTACTCCATCATCCAGACGGGGGCCGCAGGGGGGCCGGACCTGCCCTTCGGCCTCTCCCTGGACAGCCTCATCTCCGAGCTCATGACGGAGGGGGCCGGGGCCGGGGAGGGGAGCAGCCCCCCGCGCCCGGCCCTGCCCGACGCCCCCAGTGAGGCTGCCCCCCCGGGGGGCACGGCAGCACCGGAGACGCTAGTCACCATCACCGACTTCTCGCCGGACTGGTCCTACCCTGAGGTGAGCGGGGCGTGGGCAGGGGGTGGGGGGCTGGGATCGGGAGTTCTGCCCCTTCCTCCGCACCAGCCAGTGGGGCATCCGGCCCCGCGCCCCCCCCCCTCCCCGTTAACTCCTCGCTTCACCGCAGGGCGGCGTCAAGGTGCTGATCACGGGGCCGTGGACGGAGGAGACGGATTCGTACACCTGCCTCTTCGATCGGCTGGCCGTGCCAGCCACGCTGATCCAGTCGGGGGTCCTGCGCTGCTACTGCCCCGGTACGGGACGGGGGGCAGGGAGTAGGGCAGGGCCCTGTCCCCTCTGGGAGTGCCGGCTCCGGGGACTGGCTGGCTCGGTGTCACAGAGTGTGGGGGGACAGGTCTTGCAGGCACAGACCACAGGACAC